GTTATCTAATCTTACAGATGAGGAAATTGAAATTTGAAGATATTTAGTAACTTGCCCAAGGTCATATACGAGAGTGCTTCAAAAAGTTTGTGAAAAAATGGAACAAAAAGATGAATTTATTTTGCACAAAGATATTTGAAATCCATACAGCAGATTTTTTCCCCCTTCATTAACATGCATTTCCCATGAACTTCTGAAGACTCTTTGTAGCTAGTAAGGGGCAAAGTCGGTATTCAAATTCATGTTTGACTCTGGAGGCAGGGCTTTTAGCCTCCATGTGATATTGCCCATCAAAGAAAATGCTCTCAGTACATCTGGCATGGCTTCCTTGCTTTTCTGTTATTGTCCTATCCCTTAAGGCCCCTTTATCCTAAAACCACAGTTAAAATGTGTATATGGGCAGAGTTAGGATCAGGAGCACAGTTAGCTGCATAAGGCACACATGCACACACACATATATAAAAATATATGTGTATATATATATCTCCCACTATGTACATGCATATTAGTTGATATCATCATATATCATACATATTCTTTGTAATTGGTCCCTGCCCTCAGGTTTTGCTATAGTTAAGAGACAACAAATTCATTTTTAATTCATATTCAAAGATAAAGAGACAATTAGATCAATCAGTAACTTAGAGACTGGAGAGTCTGTACTTCCAGAAGTAGCAAACTAATCCCTACAAAGGTCAAGAATATAATGTAAGCAAAATGGCAAAACTGGAACACACAGGAGAGGGCAGATGTTCACCCTAACAGTAAGTGCGTTCTAGCACCTGGCTTCTACCCTGGTCCAGCCCCAGACTCTGTCAGCATTCGGGGATTGAACCAGTAAAAGAGATTTCTCTCTCTCTCCTTTTCAAAAAGATAAATAGATAGATGGACAGATGGATAGATAGATAAAATATTTTTTTACAAAAGGTAACAGCTAGGAGTGTCAGAGTCCTTAGCAAACTACCTGGTATATGTCCAAGCACTGAGCTCAGCGGATGACTATAAGCCCACTGTGACCACATTTGATAAATTTTCAAAAGACACTGAAAATCTAGATTTTCGCTGTTAAGAAGTCTCCTAGATTATAAATATTTGAAAATAATACTGTTATCTTTTAAATCACTGCATAGGCTAACATTTTGCAGGCCAAACCAACCAACTAGCTCCACACCTGCAGGCCTTTCATCTATATTCTGCTTTAGGATGGGGTGAACTGCAGAAAACTCCAAGGTAGGGGGTCAGAAGAGAAGATTGACAGGGATTTGAATCTTGGTGGAATGCTGGTTTTTGAAAAATGATTGTTGGTAAGGATAATTTTCTTGATGGGGGTAAGTGATGAGAGAGCAGGGGGTGGTAATCAGGAATGAAAACAAAATCAGTAGCTTTTTTGGATCAGATTCTCTTATTTCTCCTTTGGAGTAGTACTGGTCTTGGGCCACAGGCAAAAATAGCAGGAATCTAATTAACAGCTCCAAGAGAGCAATCAATTTACAATTGTGTGAAGTGCAAATTCCTTTGTGCAAGAAGCAAATTACAGCATTTGCAAATTTGTAAATAATGTAGCTCTCTCCCAGCAATCCGAATACATCGGGTGTCCCGAGAAAAAGAAAAAAAAAGTCTAAAAAGGCAAAATGCTAGAAAATGATCTATTGTCTCAAGCAATGGAATTTTTAAAATATCTTTAGTAATTGATTTTTTTCAATTGGATTTTTATTTAGGAACTATAGAGGGGCCCAGCTCGTATGTCAATTGAACGAGAGTATCTAGAGAAGTAAATCATATCAAGTCCAAAAGTTACAGCATGTCATTGACAGGGTTCCTTCTTTCAAAAGTGCTGAGCATAAAACTGTTTTGCTTTCTCAACCTTCTCCACACCCCTGGTTTATGGCAAGATTGTTCATAAGAAAGAGAGAGAAAGAGAGAAAGAGAGAGAGAGAGAAAAAAAAACAAGCAAGTCCCAAACTGTAATAATTAGTATATGCAATGTCAGAAAAGGAACAGATGGCAGATAAGGACATGAACCCAATCTTACTGCTCTGAAGCATTAGTGTTTATGAACAATTCAATCAAAAATATTTATTGAAGTCCTTTTATAAGATCCTGTAGCTGTTAATAGACATTCAAAAGAGATACCCTAGAAGAATGCATGAAATATTTAGGAAAGTATGAGTGAAAACTCATTACTTTCTCTTTTTTAAATACTTCGAGTGGGCTGAGCCAGGAGCCGAGGATAAAAAATAAGTGTAATTCCATCCCTGTCCTTAAGGGTTTCAAAATTTGATGAAAAAAATTTAAATCATTTAGTAGTAAGCTTGATGGTGAGAAGAAGTATAAAAGGGCACCATGGGCACTTGGACAAATGTTTGTATCAGGAAATCTTTCAACAGAAGAAGATCAATCACTAAGGTAGAGGAGGGGGAGGGCCTGGGGAGCAGAGCTAAGTGGACTGCTGATAGGCCTTCCACAGGAAAATGGCAGATGAGACTGAATGCTTTCAAATCATTGCTCTCACCTGTCTTCCTACTCAAACTTTCCTACCAAATATTTTTGCAGGGGCCAGCATTGTGGATCAGTGTGCTAAGCTGCCACCTGCAGTGCTGGCATCCAGAACCCAGGCTACTCTACTTCTGATCCAGCTTCCAGTGCACGTGCTGGGGGAAGCAGCAGAAAATCTCCCAACTACCTGGGCCCCCACCACAGCGTGTAGGAGATCCAGATGGAGCTCCAGGCTCAAAGATGCTGCCAGAAACTTACCTATGAGGAAGCTCATCACTACATTATTTACAACAATGAAAAACCAGAAACAACCTAGAGATTCAGCAACAGAGTAATGCTTAAATAAATTATGGAATGTTTAAGTCTATGATTTTATGTACTCTGTGTTTAAAAAATGCACATTTAAAAAGAATATTTCAAAACAAGCAAAAATTATTATGACATGAGAGTTTAAAAAATGGCATAAAATGTTTTATGACATATGCTCATTCTGTAACATAATATTAAAAAGTAGTTCTCCATGTTGGTTGTGATTTTTCACCCACATCCCAATTTTCTGAAGTTATCCCTTGGTTTAGACACACACAACAACAAAAGGGGTGAAATTTCTCCTTGTTTTATGTAAGAATCAGAAGAGTTGGCTTTTGTTTCTTTCCCTCTGGATTATCAGTGTGATCCTGGATTGACAAGTCACCTGCTCTTTAAGTCACACTCCACGCTATCCAGGCTGGCTAGTAATGATGGTGGGCAAAGAGGTGCCTGGAAGCTGGCCAGGCATCACTAGGAGACAGAGGAGTGTGTTGGGAGTGAGAGGTGTGAGGAAAGTGTGTTTGTTGCTATTGAGAATGAGTTCCTGGCATTGAGCAGTTCAGGGATGAAACATAAATCCATAAAGAATGGTTTAATGTAAGAATTGTCACAATGTAGTATGTGATTCACTGCCAAATAAACAGCATCATGTAGACAATGAATAGTAAAACGTTTGGTGGTGGATTGATAGAGAGAGCCATTATGTATCTGACCACGTATCACTGAAGACCTTCATCCTCTAGAAGTTTCCTTCAGCAGTCTTTGGTAAAGGATGTCACAGGGCAGGGCTAGACTCTCTTGGCTAGTCTTTTCTGTCAGGTTTAGTTATTGAATGTAATGGGACTCATTGTGAAAAGATGATAGCTTTTAAAGGAAAAAAAAAAAGCAAAGACTGTTACTCAAAAATTGGAAGTTCATGTACTGCTTGAGAAAATCCAGTATCTGCTCAAAAATCTACTTTATCCGTCAGCATCTCCTTTCCTTTTAAAACATACTCACATAAAATCTGCTTTAAAAGACAGAACCTGCCAAGAATATAGCCTAAGAAATCCACCACGAAATGAGGACACATATGTTTCAGTTCTTAGAAAAACCTGCCTTGCTGCCCTTTCCCCTGCAGTTTCTTGGTTCTCTGCACTGAAGGGCATGTGGTCATTTCTCCTTTTGATGAATTTTCTTGCTTTTTACCTTTTTTCCCTTTCTACCTAAATGTTAAGAACATTTCCTCCATACTACTGCTATTCTAGATTATGAGAGGACTTCCTAAATATTTGTGGAAAATGGAATTAAGTGGTAAGCTTATTTTAGTGCAAAAAATTGTTGAAGTTCATGAATAATTTTTTCAGAATATGCATTTCCACGAACTTTTTGAAGACGCTGCGTGTATGTCTGTCACTAGCTAAATGGATCAACACATTTTTCCAGCCAGATAACTTGGGTCCTTTTGGGGTTCTCCAGGTCATTTAAACGTGACACACGCAGATCTGTACATCTTTTGTTCCTTGCGTAGACTTGGTTTATACGTGTTGGCCGCTGAAAGGCCAGAGAAGAGACAGCTGTTGGACATTTAGACTGGCAGCTTTAGCAGCACAATTTGCTCTAATAGCTTTGATATGCTAAACTTGCTAGCTCCTCCAAGTGTACCTTCTTGATTTTGCATCACAACACTGAATCCCTAAGGAACCGGGGTAGAAATTTTAGATGCAAAAGAAAAGAAACGCAAAACCGGTGGAACCCTTCTTTTAAAATCATCTCCACAGATTCATTTTGCGAAGTGCAAGGGCTTCACCATCCTGGCACGCTAGAGACCTTTTCCACAAGGAGAAGCCAGGAATACCGATCAGGTTCTACGGAGCGAAAACAGGTGATGTCATAGCACAGCGCTGTGCGGGCACCGCCAAGGCCGGCTGCGGAGCTGCGGCTCCAGGGAGCGCGGCGATGCAAGGTGTCCGAGGGCCGCGAGGACACCGGCGAGGACGCGGCACCAATCAGCTTCTTGCTCTGCGCCAGCCTTTGTTCTCGCTGGGGAGCAGGTTCCCGCGGCCCTCGTCGCCCACCCGCGACCGACCCACACGCGCGCCGCCCACCGCTGCGGAGACCGCCCGCGCGGGTCGGCCCGGCACACCCGGTCCGCAGAGCTTTCCGCAGTGACTGCCCGCTGGCCCCGCGGCGCGGACGCCGAGCCCCTGACTCACCATTTTTTTGAGCTCTGGGAGAGGCAGGTCCAGAGCAATAGTTTTAAATGGCAGTTTGCTCTCTGAGGCTGCCTTCCCGGGCAGGGCTCTGAGCTCTCTCCGCACGAATCGGACGGGCTGCCTCAGAGCCGGCCTATGGGGGTGACGAGACTGACCTCGCTCTCGCTAGCCCTTTCGTGACGGACAAGCCGAGGAACTTCCACGGCTGGGAGGGGGGCGAGAGGGAAATGCTCCAACACAAACGCTCGACTGATTGCTGAAATATACCTCAGATTTCTTTACCCACATCCCTTACCCCACTCCCATCTCTGGGCTTTCTCACAGAGCTCGCAATCTCAGTGATGCATAAAGTTCTTCGAGATCCTAAAGGCAAAGCGCTACCCCATTGCCTTCTTTACAGCCAAGCTTGGATTTTGGCTGACAGGAAGCCTAGTCCCTACCCCGGTGGAAAATAACGTTTTAGCTCCCCCTTCCCTCCTCAAGAGATCACGAAATGTTTAGCTCAGTCTTGGTCCCTCTAGCGAGCTCTAGCTCCCAGCAATTTATCTCACTCTGCTTTCCACAGCGCCAGGGACCCAGACGAGGAGGAGTGGCTTACCGCGGGGGCGGCGCTAGTCTTCCAGGTTCGTTTGCATACGACACACCCCCTTCCTCTTATTGGTGGAATAGCGCACACTGTATTCCCTCCCACCCCGCTACCCAACTAACCCGCCATCTCCCTTCGGTTCCGAGCCTCGGAGATAAACTTAACTTGCCCGGAGATTCAAGGCGTCCTCGGCCTTTACGATTGGTCGGCGCGGCGCCCAACCGGGATCTAAAAGCTCATTGGCTGTGTGCTAGCGACCCGGGGGCGTGGCCGGAGCTGTCCGATTGGCGGGAGGGGGCGGTCCCGAAGCGTGGAGGTGGTGAAGGTGGTGGGGCGGCGGGGGCGGGGCCGCACTGAGGAGCTGCGGCGGCGGCGGCGGCGGCAGCAGCGGCAGCGGTGGCGGCTGCTCGTCCTAGCCTGGCGGGGGCGGGGGTCTGGAGGATGGGGGCGGGTGGAACAACGGGCCGGTGAGGAGCAGCCGCCGCCGTGTCAGCCGTCGCTCGGGCAGCCGCCGCAGTGGTCGCCTCGGGCAGCGCCGCTCTCTCGCTGGCCGTCGCCTTCCATCCCGACATCCCGCCGGGAGGAGGCTGAGGCGGCGAGGCACGGCCGGCGACGGCGGCGAGCCGGTCCGGCCCCGCAGCGGCGCGGCTGACGGCAGTGACAGTGCACCCGACCCGCCGCCCACCCTCGCCCTAGCCTTCGACGCCGGCGGCCACGATGAACCGGAGCGGCGGCAGCCCGTCGGCCGCCGCCAACTACCTGCTCTGTACCAACTGCCGGAAAGTGCTGCGGAAGGTACGGCCCGGGCCTGGGGTCCTGCCCCGGAGGGGCTCTTCCTGCCGGCCGGAGCTCGCGCCGCGGGGCCCCGGGGGCGCGCGGGGGCCGAGGCTCCGGGGTCTCCCCTGGCACTGCCCCTTACCCGGAGACGAAAAAGGGGGCGTGGGTTTCGGGCCGCTGCTGTTTTTCATCTCTGTTGGGACAGACGCCAGTCTCGAGGGCTGTTTTTTTTTTTTCTTATTTCTTTTCTCTGTATCTTTTTTCATTCTTCTTTCTGTGTGTGTGTGTGTGTGTGTGTTTGTGTGTGTGTGTGTGTGTGTCCGCGCGCACGCGCGCGCCTACCTTCGGTCTGTTTTCCAGCCCGCCTCCCTACCTTGCTTCTCCGGACACTGGGAGGGAGGCACTCGTCGATCCTCCTCCCTGGGCCGTTTGGCTGTCGATGGAGGTCCGGGTGAAATCAGAGCAGCCTGGGCTGGGCTGGAGGAACCCGGCTCCGTCGTGGCTGTGGCTAACTCTCGGGGTGTTGTTTGTTCGGTTGCTTTGCCTTGCCCAGCAGCCCCCTTTCCGTGTTCTTCCGATGGTCCTCCTGTGTCTGTAGTTCACTCATGAAAAGAACCAGTAAAGCATCTTGAACTTAATGCCCCGTGGGAGATGCTTTTCGACCTTACCGGTTCCTCGGCTGGGGGAGGAGGAGGGGTGGATGTGGTTATCCCTGCCTAGCACCCCCTCCCCAGGCTCCATCCGGACGCACCGCCAGCTTATTGCTTCCCAGATTGAGGGATAGAAAGTTTAGTATTGTTTAGCTTACTTGGCTTGCTCTCTCGGGGATGGGGGGGGGGGTGCGTGGGGGCGGGGGTGTGTGAAAAAATGTCTCTTTAGATCGAGAAGAGTTTTTAATCAGATTTTAACAGCCGCCCCTATAATGCTGTCAGATTATTCTTCTCCGAGCTCTTATTTTTGCATTTCATTGAGTGGAAACATCAGGTGAGGTGCTTCTGTTTGTCCAGTTCAAATGAATTAAAATTGCTGAGCTGTGCAAATGCATGGGGACTGAGAGACTGAGATGAATGCGGTACCAGTTTTAGTCGATTTCCCTAAACACAGTTCACTTCAGGATTGTTCTTTACATGTTAAAAAGGAAAAGAAAGAAAGCTCGTAAGTAAGCAAGCTTAAATATTTGCGCTCTTTGTCCAAAAACTGTTTTTCTTCCTCTGTGGGTCAGGCCAAGTGCCAATCAAAGTTGTTTTTCAAGCCTCTTTTCCCTGCAGTAGAGCTGCTGCATTTTTTTCCCCTATTTTATTTGTGAGCATGAGGAAAGCGGAGGGATTGCAGATTTGAAGTTAATCAAACAGCTAAAAATGCCTTAAATTGTGTTTATTGGATATGTTTCTCTTGAAACAGATTTTTATTAAATGTGCATGTTGAATATGTGCAGTTATTTTTTTCCATAAACTCCGGGATCAAATTACAGTTGATACTTGCTCCGCTCATTGTAGGGCAGGCAGCTTGTGAGAAATGTAATGGATCAGAAGTGCAGATCAGCTTAGTTGAATGTTAACTCTTTCACTGCAGGGCCAGATGTCATCTGAATTTATCTTTTTAAAAAATTATTATTTCCTAACAGGGGTATGTTATGTCTTTGATATGAAAAAAATGTGGTGTTTGAGATATGTTTGATTGAACTCAAGCCTGGCTAAAAGGGCAGCAAGTTATGTTTTTTAATTGAATAAGAATAAAGAATATTATACTGACTGATAAATTTTTAAATGATTCTGGAAATTTGTTAGGCTAATAAAGTGTTTGGAGATGATATTAGGTCAGACTGTTTCATTTTTCTTTTGAGAGTGCTATGGCTGTGGATTCATGATACTTTGTTAGCATTTGAAACATCTTTTTATCTTTCTCTTAGCTTTTAAGAAACTATTTCCGTTTACCCAAGAAGAAAGATAATGTTTCTCTTGAAACATTTCTAGCCAGTATTCAAAGATTTGGAAAATGAGTATTCACATTTTCATATTTTATAATTACTTTGCACATCTCTGCCAGTATTCCAGTTTTAAGTAACTCCAAGGTATTTAATATTGATTCATGCAGTAGCATGAAATAACTTTAGATGAAAATAGGATTGTTTGAGCCAGTTATGACATGACTTGGCAACATTTGAAGCTTTTTAAGAGTACCATTCTCAAATGCTCTTTAAAGAAATTAGTGTCTAGCATTTTGAATTCCTCATCATTCTAGAAATAGCATCTAAGATTTTATTTCTAATACAGACATGTTTTTCTTTTTGATAGAAATAATATAACACTAAGTGAAAGTCATCTACCTCCAAGTGTTGTTCTTTGAATTTATCCTATATTTTCTATTTAATCAAGAGCCCATTTAATAAGCAAGTTAGTCATACATAGCATTTTGAATTTTAGTCCAGTGTAGTTCATAATGGAAGAGTGAAGTGCACTGCATTCAGTGTGAATTACTGTTTACTGCTATAACCCTTGCTAGTGATCGTGAAGGGTCACCTTTGCATGTGGCAGAAAGCCTTTTTCTTTCTGTGCCTAAACTTACTGCAAGATGTTGGATGTTGGAGAAACTTTAAAAGGAACCAAATTCACCTTCACATGGAATAATTTGGTTTAGGCCAGGTTCTGAATGTGAAATTGTATATTGTATGAAAATCGCATTTATTCTGAGTGCTTCACAGTTTTAATCCAGTGTCTTCCAAAAGGAAGAGACTGCTTAAAATATCAAATGTACCTAATTTGGTAACTGTAGGCCAGTGAAAAGAATAGAGAGGCAAACACTATACAGTAACAAATGGATACACCAAACTATCCTGAAATTCATAGCTCCTTAGTCTAACTTGCTCTGTTGTAAATTAGGTAGTTAAAGTTCTTATTAAAAAAATAAAATGTTTCTATTTGCTTTGTAAAATTCATGATTTTTGAAGTGTAATATATTTTACTTGAAATCCTAGTGACAACTAGATGAACATGATCCTTTAATTTCAAAAGTGACATGGCAGACTTAAGGGAGGTAGGTAATTGTCAGCCATTCATCTTCTTGTAAATATAAGTGGTGTATTACATGTACTTTGTGTATTGAGCAATTGTGGAGCTAACATTTAAAAGTCATACTATGTTTAGGTAATTCTATGATACATCTTTGTATATTTGTTGCATTTTTTTCTTTTCTTATATAGTCACACATTTTGAGGACTTTTTAAAGGGTTTGTAAGTAACAATAACTTAAAGTGGAAAACATTAAACTACATGAGCCTCATTTTTAATAGTCAAAATTGTCAGATAATAGCAATTTTATATGGTTCAACCCATATATTTACTTTGTGGATTAGAAGCTATTTGCTACCTTTATCAGGTTTCTTTGTTACATATTTTTGATTGTCAAAGGCAATATTTATTTTATTTTTCTTGTATATGACCTAAACAGAGCTCAAAGTGAATTTATGGACAATAAACCTTTAAGCAAAGGATTTCAACTGCTTTCTGTGGAACCCTAATATGCTTCAAGATTTGAAAATGCTTGAGTTGGATTAAGTTTTTAAGTATGTTTTAAATTATTTTTAAAATTGAGATTTAGGGACCTGGCGTTGTGGCACAGCGGGTTAAACCACCCTGACATCCTATGTGAGTGCCAGTTGGAGTTCCAGCTGCCCTGTTTCCAATCTAGCTCCCCGCTAATGCACTTGGGAAAGGTGCTTAGGTCCTGCAACCCATGTGGGAGACCCAGATGGAGTTCCAGCCTTCTGGCTTTGTCTGGCCCAAACTCAGCACTGCAGCCCTTTGCGGGGTGAACCAGTTGATGGAAGAATTCTCTCTCTCTCTTTCTCTGTCTCTGTAATTCTGACTTTTAAATAAATAAATAAATCTTTTTAAAAATACAATTAATCTAAAAACATGTTATACATAATCTTAACACATTGGATCTTAGAGGTTACCACAGTTATCTTTTGCTAAAAAATATTCTTTTTTTTAAGTTTCTTTTTTTTTTTTAATTTTTATTTTTTGCCAGGCAGAGTTAGACAGTGAGAGACAGAAAGGTCTTCCTTCCATTGGTTCACCCCCCAAGTGGCCGCCGCGGCTGGGACTCAGCACCAATCTGAAGCCAGGAACCAGGCGCTTCCTCCTGGTCTCCAAAACGGTGCAGGGCCCAAGCACCTGGGCCATCCTCCACTGCCTTCCCCGGGCCACAGCAGAGAGCTGGACTGGAAGACGAGCAACCGGGACAGAATCCGGCGCCCCTACCGGAACTAGAACGC